GTACAACTTCACTTCAGTGTGCCATTCGCAGTATTGCTACTACCAACAAGTGCCGCAGAGCGACAGCGCTCAACTGACGTGTACTGTAGCCAGGTATTCTTCTGATAAACTCACTGGCAACCGACTACTAATACAAATCTAAAATCTATGATAGGCTTTGCTATACCGGTAGTACAGTAATAAAGATACACCTGTGTAACTTTAATGACTTCGCTATATTAACATGTTATCATGGATATGCGTCGAGCGCGAGCGTAGTGGTCGTGGTGGGGGCGGGTGAAGGGGGCTCTAATAGCAAAAGCAGTTCAGTCCTTTGTTAACAGTCAACAAATCCATGTTTGACCCTCCTCTTGAGGGTCAAAAGGTTATCAGACACTTACTCTTCGCACATCAGCGGAAAGTACATTTCATGGTCCTTTCAATAAAGTGATAAAAATGGTAGGTCAGCCCTGAAACAAAAAAGTTTTGCACTCGGTCCGTTAGACCATGTCCTAAAAAAAAAACCACTGCCCTTTGACCTGTGACCTCCAATTTCGCACTGGTGATGGGTTTCCTCCCCATCACACTATATATCGAATATTACGCGCGTAGGTCGAGCCGTTAAGATTTGTGCCGCAATTCCGTATTTCCTCCTATACCTTAAGTTAAGGGGGAAATATTCCCCCTCCATTGACACATCTTGACCTTTGACCCTTGACCCCCCAAATTCGACATCCCGAGTCCTTTTCGCAATCCCCCCCGACGTCCCGAATATCAAGACTGTACGTCGAGCGGTTAAGATTTGTGCCATAACTGTTGACACACGGACGGACGGCCGGACGGACATTCATGCGATTCTACTACTTCTACGACTTCGTCAGCTGAGCTAATAATTATAATAGTATAGTTGGCACAATATCATTTGGTAGCTGCGATAACTATGTCACTATGCAGTCACGAGTAGCACTGAGATCTTACCATCAGCTCAAAGCAGAACCAGGCGTTTGTGAGTGCTGTCTCCCTGACAGAACCTGAAGACACGACCCACTGCAGTGCAATCTCCTCATGTACGAGCTGTAACATGAAACACATGATGTAGCAGGTGAGGAGGGAAGAAGGGGAGGGGGAGGAGGAGAGAGGCAGAGGAGGGCAGAGGTAGAGGCGACGACCCAGTCCAGTGAATCTCCTCATGTACCAGCTGTAAGGTCAAGCGTATTCTCTCGTGTGGCTGCACGAGTGATCTGGAGCAGGAAACTGGAGGGAAGGAACTCTTATTCAACAGCTGCATTGCCGATAATACTGATAGAAGAGATCGATTAGAATTTCATAATCGATCGAAGGCTGCACCCGACCGATCGACGATTGACTGTAATCAGTGGATCGCGTTAATCCTGTATGCTATAGATATAGGACAATGCTAACACAGCGCTGGCGGGCGCACACACGTTACAGATGTACGTTGGAGCGTTGCTATTACCTTTCTGTAGTGCGGTTTCACAGTGCTGTAGATGTTTTCGTACGTCGTACGCATGCTGCCCGTTCGCTCCATACCTCTACCTGCAAGCCGTAGCAAGAAGAAAACAGATCTCATCAGCCACAGCTAACGCCGAACAACCAAACAACGCAGGATCGAAGAATGGCATTCCCGCCTTTGCTAGAGATTCTCCGTGCTATCATCTGCGATGGACATACATATATACTGGGGTAGGAATTTTTTGCGGGAGGTTCGAATGCTCGAGATACACGTGAACACCGTGAAGAGGGGGTAATACTCATATTACAATATAATTATGTGATATGATTATGTGGGTGTGTTATGTTATATGATATCATAATATTATATTATTATACGATACTATAATAATACGTTTCTAAGTGGATAATTATATGACAACAGATAACATTTGCTCTACGGCTATAGCATGCAGAATAGTGCATCCTATCAAGCAGCAAAAAATTGCTAACAGATCTGCATAAATAGATTACAATATGACACATATAACACATAATAATAATAATAATAATAATAATAATAATAATACCAACAACAACAACAACAACAACAACAACAACAATCGTATAATTCTATAAATATATGATACGACAACTATTGGTGCATAAATTAAATCGCTTTACATTTCCCATTCCACGACAATCGTTTATTTCTCGTGAAGATTCGCCACAACAACACGTATCACTGGTCAGGAATTGTAACGACTGTGTGAGAGACCACCATCAAATCTGGAACGGCCATCCGTCCAAACAGAGAGACCACGCCCGCTTCAAATTACGCTGGGCTAGGTCGGTCATGCAATCCGTTCACACGTGCTCTACCACGCATGCACACTGAACGGGTCTTTTAAACCCCGTCTCGCTCGCAACAAATGGTCAGAGCTGTCAGTCAATCGTGCAGGAGGATGGGTCATCGAAGCTGTGCTACCGCGCGCGTGAAGAGCACTAAAACGACAACAGACGCCACGCTACGCAGCGACACATGCACACACACACACACACAGACTGAGACGAACGACCGTGTGGCCGCCCAGCGGCACACCCCTGTCAATGCCCCTCCTTCCTCACCATCCGCATCATAGAATGAGTCATACAGGGTGACTCTTCCGGCCTCTGAACACGAGGATATCGGCAGCAAGGCAGCGGGCAGCGGCCGGCGACGGCGGAAGGAAACGAACAGCACATTACGAACAACGGACGCGCGTTTTCAACGAGCCATTATCGCGCGGCTCAACAGTTTGTAACAGTCAACGTTACAACGCTTTCACGCGTTTACGAGGTTTTTTACGTTAGATTAGCAATGTCTACAAGAGTTCAAGGCTTTTTAGAGTGCGCAACTTACTATGTTGTATTACGGTCATGATATTTTTAACGGTTAGAGCT